GGGGGGCTGCGCCGGGCCCGGGGTCGCTAGGCCGGGTCTGCCCCGCGGCGCCTTCTGCCCCGCCGGCCGCGCGGGGAGGGGAAGGGCGGACGCGCCTTTACACAGAGGAAAGCGAGGGAGAAAGGGAGGAAAAAGGACAGCAGCGTGGGGAGCGGTGCTGGTGGCGCGTTGGGCCCGGGGAGGGAGGACGCGGTCTCCTGTGGTCGCTCACTGACGCTCCACACGAGGCCTGCGGAGGCGGTAGCCGAGAGACCCCTCTCCTCCCACCAGGTGCGAGGAGCGTTTCAGCACGGTCGTGCTGCAGAGCGCCGCTGCTGCCGCCTTTGTTTCGAGTTCACCCAAGCCCGAGGCGCCACCATGGGTCTTCCCAAGCCCTGTGGAGCAGCAGAGCCAAGGAGCGGGTCCATCACCAGCATTGGCTTTTCCAGTCCACACCCAAAAGTGCACATAAAAAGTGGGAATCTATGCGTGGAGCAGGGGTATATCACAAACAGCAGTGCTGCCCTGCACACCTCTATTTTGGGGTATTTCCCTTACTTAAACTTACCGTCCTCAGGCAGAGCCAGGTGACAGCACTTGGAGGCTGAGGCTAATCAACAATGTGGCAGCAGCTGCAGCCTGCACAACCCACCAAGCACCTTGCCTGGGTGTTCTCTCAAGGGCCAGCGTAGGCAGAGCCCTCATCAAAAAGTTGTCACCTGTGGGTTGGTAGCTGCTGAGAACCCCAACTTTCCTGCAGCCCGTTCCTTGTGGGCATGCTCCCAGTGCCGCTCCGAGGGTCCGCTGCCTAGCGTGTTCCCTGCAGCCAGGCAGCAGCGGCGGCTGTGCCCGCGAGGGATGCAGCAGAGCGTCTTGATCATGAGGGGTCTGCAGGGAGCTGGGAAACGAGACGTGGGAGAGACTATCACTATCTCAGTAGCGAGCCCCTTGGTAAAAAGACTACGTGTCTTTAATGGGAGTTCAGGCCTTTCTAGGCAGAGGAAAGTTAACTAAGGGAGCTTGTTTTTCCCCCAAAATAAAAAGGTGACCATTGCTTTGAGAACTTAAAATCACATTAGGCCCCTATACCCTTCTTCTGGCTTTTAAACAAGCTCTTCAATGGGTGTTGAAAGCGCAAGTGTAACCTGAGTTTCATTGCAATCACTGGAGAAGTCCTGTTGACTTGGAGCCATGATTTCATTCAAGGTAGGAAGATCGCAGCGAATCGGGTGTAGAATTAATGAAGATCCATACTCAGGACTGTATAATATTCTATTGCTATTGAAAGAAATCTCTCAGATTAAAATGATAATATTAACTTTTTCCCCAAAAATCTTTTAAAAAAAGAAGATACTAATCACCTTTTTCCTTTTTTTTTTCTGCTTTCTGCTTATCTGCTTGGCAAATAATTGATTTTTTTTCTCCTCTGTTTTTCAGAGGGCACAAAGCAAATGGATTTTTCTTTTTTTTTTTCTTTTAATCATAAACCCCATTGATAATGCTAGTGTTGTCAGCACAGTTCTGGGAAGTACAGCTTAATTAGTTAACCTGCTGGCCGGAGCAGCAGCAGAATAAGCATACTGGAGGATTAGAATGAGTGGGGGGGCTACGGCTTATTTTTGAAATATTCTCAAGGGAGTAACATACTTGGAATATAGAACAGAATACTCCCAAACACAAACATTTTCAAGGTAGAAATTGATTGTTGTGCCTCAATTACTGAGCAAGCAGTTCTGATGATTTTGTAGAAGAGACCAAATAGAGGAGGCCTCTGAAGTAATGAATTTACCTGCGAGCACTGTAAGGGCAGCAGCATCCACGTAGCCCCCAGTGCTGCGTTTTTGCAGCCTTGCATTTTCAGAGCGTCTTGATCCATGTGTCTGTCAGATGAGGCCAGCACTTGATCATTAGCTCTCAATACTTATTGATTCTTTTTTTGTGTGGTTTGTTCCAGTTGTCCAATCCGAACTGCCTTCCACCTCTTTTCTTTCGAGGTCAATGGTCTGTGATGCAAGAGGCCCAGATTCTGTTCCTAGCTGTGCAATAAAGCAACCCGTGCCCCTGACTATGGATCATCTTGTCCGTCTCATTTATTTCTCCCATCAGTGTTCTGTTCTGAGTAAATAAAGTGTAAAATAAGCTTGTCTTACTGGAGTAACATTTCATAAATCATACGTAGCTCTGTTAGGTTGAAGAAAACATTACCCATTTTATATAGAAATTTGCACCTGTAAGTGGAAATAAATGGTTTCTCGAAACCAAGAAGCTCTTTAATTGATTATTTAATTTTGGCAATACCCTTGTCTTACATAGAAATGTTCTTGAACAGATGAATAACCTACGGATGGATGAGTGTAATCCATTCATTTGTGCGCGAAACCCAAGTTGTTCAGAATGCAAATGACATCAAAAGTCCAAGTGATGATTATAAGAACATTTGACAGTATATTAGAGGGAGCACAGATAACATGGCAAGTGGTTCAGCAAATTGACTGACTAAGACCTTTCATCTCCAATTTCTGTAATTTTATATTTGGGCCCTTCTGTTGGCTGAAGATAGTCAAAAGCAGCAGGCAATTGTGTATTAACTATGTATCTGAGGGAGTTCATGTTTCAGTACCAGATTAAGCAGTATGGAGATAAATCCCCCATTTTACTGGTGAAGCATTTTATTTCAGTTATTTGAACATATTCACAAGAAAATCTGCTTTAATACCCTTTTTAGAGAAAAGGAGAATTTTGGCTAGCTTGCCTGTGATGTAGGTTATTCTTCTCTTTGGCAGGATGAGTTTCTAGTGGTAAATCAGCCTTTTATGAACTGCTAACTAGATGCAGTCTTATTCAGTCCTGTAGCTACACAGAAAACCCTCTACCTAATGTTCTTGCTAGGCAGCGAGGTACTGCACTGGTGCCCCTTGGTGCTATTCCATGATGTTTGCCATGTTTCAAGGGCAGCTCACCCCAGACACCATGGTACAACAGATAGACACGAGTGTCTATATTTATGTTTGTACGTACATGTGCACAAATACTGGTGACAAAACCATTACCTCCACTTGTTAGGTATGTGAAATACCAGTTGGAGAATTTCATTTCTGGTCTCAAGTAGCCAATGATGGATTGCTCCTGATGATCTTTGAAAAAAGAATGAGATAAATTTTCAAGAAAACAGCCATGCTCCCTGCTCAGAAGCTGCTGCATTAAGGATGACATATTAACATAAAGAATATTGAAAAAAAAATTATCTTCTACGCAAACACACCTCTTTTCTCCAGGGCTCCTACTGTAGGTCATTTTACTATGGCTGTTCTGTGGGCTGTAAATTCTGGGAACGCACTGTCCTCCTCCGTGTATCCTCCCGGTAACTCAGCAAGCTCAGGTAGCCACCAAATAACGCACAGCCCTCGTGGGCCACGGCCCAGCCGCAGTCTTTGCCCGATGAGACCAATCTCTGTGGTGTGTGAGAGGTCCTTGTGGGCTTTGACCCGTGCGCAGGCAGCAGAAAGAGCAGCCCTTGCTGCTGAATTGGTGACCTGCTCACTAGTCGCATTCGGCCAAGTTGTATCCTGATATAGTTACCCAGAAACCTTAATCACAGAATTGGAGGTTGGAAGGGACCTCTAGGGACCATCTAGTCCAACCCCCCTGCTCCAGCAGGGACACCTAGAGCACGTGGCACAGTGTGGCATCCAGGCAGGTTTGGAAGATCTCCAGAGAAGGAGACTCCACAACCTCTCTGGGCAGCCTGTTCCAGGGCTCTGTCGCTCTCACAGTCAAGAAGTTCTTCCTCACATGGAGATGGAACTTCCTGTGTTTCAACTTGTACCTATTAGCCCTTGTCCTGTCACTGCCCACCACCAAGAAGAGTTTAGCCCCATGGTCTCAGCCAACTAGGAGTTTGCTCTGTAACATCAGCCATGCTAAGGAAGGAGAAAAACTGGACCAGCACCAAGCAGGTGTTGTCCTTCCTAATGAACTGCCTTGTGGGGAAAAACAGGCAGTAATGCTACGCTTGTGCCTGCTGGCAATTCGTCCAGGAAATGAGACTGAAGTCCTGCTCAAGTGACAGGAGGCTTGAGTCACCCCAAAGCAGGAGAAGGACAAACAGCCTGTGTTCTGGCCCAAACAGAGAGCATATGCCAAGCTTTCATTTTGTAGCAGACCTACGAGGATGGGCGTTATGCATTCTCAACACATGGAAACGAAGGGAATCATGTGGATTGAAAGTGCCCTGGGACGGACTTCTGATTAAACAGCGCCAAAAGCTCTAGTGAATACACTTTTTTTTTTTTTTTTCTGCCAAATAGTATTTCTTCTAAGAGCAGAAAAAAATGTGACCATTAACACACTAGGATTTGATGATGCTTTTATTCATTTGGCCACGTATTTTTTTCTTTGCGGTTTGTAGTTTATTGACACAATCAACTGAAATGGCTCTTTTGGAGTCATTACAATTTGTTGTGTTAGTGTAGCTGAAAACACTTTAACTTACCATGTGTCACGCTTTGTCAAGTTACCAGTTGACGTGTCCAAATCAGGATTAGGAACAGTGCTGATGCAGTGCAATGCAGCAATTGCTTGTGCAACATAAGCATTCATGAAGAGGGACAATCTCTGCTGGAGTAAAGAAGTACTTACCTATTGGCCTTTGTCAGGTGTTCCAGCAGCTTATTTACCCCTAAATATCTTAAATATCCCCTGGTGCATCCTGGCAGTATTGAGGTTACTTGCAAACACCAAAGAAGATTAGCGTTCTTAAATAAAAGCTATATTTTAATAATCCAATAGTATT